AGTGCTGAGATTAAAGGCATGTGTCACTACTGCTCAGTTTAATAAGGTGTAACATGAGGACCTGCTTGTTGGGGTTTCTGTCCTGCCCAGTTCTCACAACTGGCAAGTCCCCCCAAAATTCACACAAAGGTCTCAATAACTTATAAACTGATTGACCCATTAGCACAAGCTTTTTATTAGCTCTTGTAGCTTATATTAACCCATTATTCTTATCTATGTTAGCCACATGGCTCAGTACCTTTTTCAGTGGGGCAGGTCACATTCTGCTTCTTTGGTGATCTGGGAAGGACAGGAAAAGTGCTTCCTTCTTTCCAGAATGCTCCTGTTCTCATTACCCCGCCTCTCCTTCCTGTCTGGTTATCTTGCCTATACTCCCTGCCTGGCGACTGGCCAATCAGCATTTATTTAAAACATGATTGACAGAATACAGACAATTATTCCACATCACTTCCCCCTCTTTTTTATTTTTAAACAAAGGAAAATATCCATAGTCCATTTTTTGGGAATGTGGGCATAGTATTCCAGGCCACTCCCGGCTGGTTGGGGGCACTGATAAGCTTATGGGGACCTAAAGAAAATTTAGAGCCATGATCAAGTCCTGACTGGAGTATCCTGTGAGTCTTGATCATCTCAGGCAGCATCTTGAATCTGTTCTGGATGTAGAACTCGGACATCTGGGCCATCTGTTTTTACCAGAGATTTCTCAGGTGCTTTTGCTTGATCAAACCTGATTTTTCTTAACTCAGAATGAATCCACAGCCTCTCATTTCTTGTGGAAACAAAAACAAAATCTCTTCTCCAAAATAACATACCTTTTGACTTCAATTTTGAAGTCAAGGTTATTTTCAAAATACCTATCTTGGATTAATTCAGCAGTGTAAGACTTTAGACAATTCTGAAGCCATTTCTGACAATTCCAAACCCTCTCAGCCTGCGTGCCTTAGTGCTTCCCCTCCTCCCCTGGGAACCAAGGACCTAACAGCTACACATGCACGTACTCAGTTCCTGAACAATTACCCATATACGTATGTTTTGACTCAGTCCCCTGGGAAACTGGGTCAAAGTGACCTCTTACCTCATCTTATCTGACAATAGCTCTCCAGACAATTATTGATATTAGCCCTTTTCGAATAAGCCAATCATAATGATCAAAGAACAACCCCCTTGTTTCTATGGCCTTCTCCTTTAAAAGTAGACTGTACCGGCTATTCAAGGTCTCTCGCCTTCCTAAATTCTGAGGGACCCTGTCATGACAGAATTAATAAAATCTTCATGCTTTTGCATCGGCTATGGTGTATGAGATGGTCTCTGGGGGCGACTCCTTCTTGGCATTTGGACACTAGAGTCCAACAACAGCATTTATAAGCAAGTATCTTTTAGTAGCTGTTGCTCCTTCCTCAGCATTCAAACAATTCAGAGAGCATAATAACATACAGTATCAAGATTCTCTGTGTGTTTTTCATCTTTACATGGCTTTATTTTAACCTCTGTGTCTTTTATTTTTACTTTTAACTTTTGACTTTTTGAGACAGGTTCTCTGTGTATCTTTGTCCTGGAACTCCCTCTATAGACCAGGCTGTCCTTGAACTCACAGAGATCCACTTGCCTCTGGCTCCTAAGTGCTGGGATTGAAGGTGTCTACCACCACACCTTGAATTCACAGAGGTCTGTCTGCCTCTGCTTCCCAAGCTTTGGGATTAAAGGTTTATGCTACCACACCTTGACGTCACAGAGGTCAGTCTACCTCTGTCTCCCAAGTGTTGGCATTAAAGATGTGTACCACCACACTCAACTACTCTCCCTCTTTCTTTTTTCATTTTAAAGACTTTAACCTTTTTCTTTTCTCTCCTAAGCCTGCACATATTTTTAAACATACAATAAACCATTTAGAGGGTTTTTTTTCCTTGAATCTCTTTACTGTATATCTCTCTTTTTCTGATTACATGAATCTTTAATTTACCAAGCAATATGGGTAGGAGTAAAGCTGTGGCTTTCATGGCTGGTTCCAGTCCACTTCTTAGCTTTCTGTGATTTGAGCCTCATGCTGGAGTCATGTTTATTGCCACAACTCTATGGTGTTTTAAGGTCCCTGCCAGCAAGCAAGCTGTAACAGTGTGCTCCAAACTACACTTAAAGGCTTCACAGTCAGACTGTCTGCCTGCAAGAGGCAGAGTTTGCCCTGGCAGGATGGCCCAAAAAGCTGGCATTTTAAAACAGCACAGCTTTTTTCCTGCTACGGCTGAAAACCAAAAAGCATGCGGTCATCTTTTCATCAACACAGTTGAAGTGTTCTGTGGCAGGACCTCTTAAAAGAGTTGCAGGGTTTTGCAGCTAAAGCTGAATCCGGAAGCCTCTCTTAGATGAGCACTTACTTGCCTCTAGCAAGCAGAGCAGACCTGAGAAATTGCTGCTACCAAGAAACCACGCTTTACTCTATTCTTTTCTGTCTAGAATTACTTCCCAAGCTGTCTCGGACTTTATGTGGATGCAGTTGTCCACATGTTGGCACCATTCTGTAACATATAGGGACCTGCTTGTTGGGGTTTCTGTGAGGAAGAAGGCAGAGTGAGAGAGCTGCCATGGAGACACCAGGTCAGACATGTTCAATCTTTCCCAGTAAGTCACAACCTCGTGGTAACATACAGATTATTAGAAATGGGTGAATCAAGATGTGAGAGTTAGCCAATAAGAGGCTAGAACTAATGGGCCAAGTAGTGTTTAAATGCATACAGTTTCTGTGTGATTATTTCGGGTGTAAGCTAGCAGGGCGGTCAGGACCAAAAGCAGGCCTCTCACACAACACTAAGGTAGGTTTATATTAATGAAAATACTTAAATACTGCTTGTTACATAGTGTCTTAGTCAGGGTTTTATTCCATGACCATAGCAAGTGTTTTTAACTTTTTTTGTTTAGTTTTTGTTACTTTCACACCATGCATCTCCATCCCATTAATTTCCCTGTCCCTTTGTATCTGCTTTCTGCTCTTGTAACCTCCCTCCAAAACACAATAAAATAAAATTTAAGAGATAAAAAGGAAAAAAAAAGAGAAAAATCAGTCTCATTACCTAAGTTATAGTGTGACACAGTGAGGCACACAGTAAACTCTTTTATCCATTTATCTTTATTTACAAGTGGTTATTCTGGAGCTTACTTTGTACACTAGACTGGCCTCAAATTCACAGAGATTCTCCTGCCTCTGCCTCCCAAGTGCTGGTATTAAAAGTATGTACCACTGCACCCAGAAATATTGTTTATTTTTAAAAGTATATTTTCTAGTTTAATTTTGATTGACAATGAAATTCAAAGAATTTTGTAAGTATTTTCATTCTGCTGCATATATACTTTCCTTTAAAACGTTACAATCAACATAGAGTTTGAGAACAAGGTAGTCTCTTGTATCACTCAATGCTTTTAATTCATATTTATTAATTTATTTTATTTTATGTCCACATATGTGCACCTGTGTGTATGTATATGAGCTATGTACCTGCAGTGCCCTTGCAGGCCAGAAGAGGGTGTTGGGTCTTCTGGAACTGGAGATTCAGACAGTTGTGAACTGCCACATGGTTGCTGGGAATCAAACCTGGGTCCTCTGCAAGAACAGTCAGTGCTCTTAACCATGGGACCATTTCTCTACACCTGTAAATTTTGCTATTTGAATGATCAAATATGACAGGTTGCCATAATGGTTATTATATGGTGTTACCAGGAGCTATGTTTTTTTTTCTGTCCTCTTTGAGTTGTTTTGGTGCTGACCTTGTCATTTGTGCATCTGTTCACCCAAATGCCTGGAGCAGCCGAAAGGAGGCAGGTTTATCTTGACACGAAGTTTTGAAGGTTTCAGTCCAAGGCAGTCTGGACTTCTTGCCTTGTTAGTGAGACTGTGTGGTAGAGGAGAGTGTTCTGCTCATGGAAGCAAGAAACAGAACAAGACAGAGGATGGTTAAAAGACAGCACATACCTTTTATAGGTGCATGCACAGTAGACTGCTTCCAGCAGCTAGACCTCACCTCTTTAATAGACAGTCCAGCGGTATACACACATTAACTTTTTTTAAAAAAAGGGTTTAGGACTAATATATTTTGGGTGATCTAATTTCCAAGAAAACCTTAAGAAAAAAGATGCAACAATCAAGGATTTTTCGTGCTTTCCTGAGGTCCCTTCAGTAGTGGCCTTTGGACCTGGTTCTGTAGAGCATGGCCACATTTTCAAACAGTTCCACGACAGTGGTGAAGCCCAATGTGGAATCTAGGAAAATAAGACTCTTATGTCAGCATTTACCACAGCAACCCCTCAATCTTGAGCTCTCAACTGTTGTCAGGAACAAAGAAAGCTAAGAACAGCCTTGCTCTCCTGTGAGCTTTGTTACATGTTGTGAATTCTAAGGACTCAGCATTATACAGAAATACTTGTTGAGCATAGAAACAACCAGGTCATGGTTTCAGAATTCACTTATGAACTATTAAGAAACAGTCTGAAGGTACCAGACTGTGGTAGCTTCTGAGAGTGCTGGATGCCTAGAAGCAGGAGTCAAGTTCATGATCTATAGATCCACCTTCTTTGTAGAGAGCATCACACGCAATGTAATTCCTCCAAGGTTGTGATGTTCTAGGGACGTGGCAGATGAACAAAATAGGAGCACTAACTCCATGGGCACATAAATACGAAGTTATTGGGAGCCTCAGAACAAAATGTGTGGAGAAACCACTGCCCTCCTTTGTGTGTGTGTGTGTGTGTGTGTGTGTGTGTGTGTGTGTGTGTCTGATTTATGCATGTGTAGTTTTCTCATCTTAACAAATGGCCAGATTCTTCCCATTTCTTGTACATGAGAAAATGTAAGGGCAGTAACAGTTGCTTGTTGTTGGAGAACAAATGAAAAGTTGTTCATATGTTTCTAATGTTAATTACATTGTGAACTAAAAATATAAAGAATCTAGTACTTGGTAATGTTTTTCATATGACTATTAAAATAAATGTCACTTCTTTTGTGTGTGTCACAGCAGATCAATACCCAAGAGACAGAAAAACTCAATGTGTAAAAAGTCCACACGGAACCCTGCAGGTGAGATATTCACAAGGTGGTCTTACCCTACATAAAAAAGTGAATGAAAATTTTAGTCCTAAAAGGAATTAAGATATAAATTACAGTTATATTGTTTATTAATTTGTTTTCTAATATAAATTCAGAACTACTTGAGGAACTATTTCTAAATATTTGAAATATGAAATTAATATTGTCTGAAAATGTTGGTTTATTTAGTTTTGGTGCCTGATTTTTTTTATAAACAAGAAAAAGATTTTTAACCTAATATATTGTATACAAACTTTATAGTCAGTCATATCATCACAAATTGGACTTCAGTGGGATTAGAGGTGGCAGGCCATTAAGCTTTTTAAGTGGGTTCTGAGGGTCCAAACTCTGGTCCTCATCATTGTGTGACAAACATTTTATTCCTTAAGTCATCTCCTCAACCAACTCTTGGCTTTTTATTTCCCAGTTATATTTTTTGTCTGAAACAGTTTAATATAGCAACATTAAAAATATAAACTATTCGTAGATTATCTTTGTAACGGAGGTAACTTTTCCTGTGTACCTTTAAAAAAAGATTTATTTTTATTTACTTGTACAGATCTTTCTTCTGCATGCATAGCTGAGCATCATGTGTGTTGTGTGCCTTTGGAGACCAGGAGAGGGCATTAGATTGTGCTGGAACTGGAGTGACAGGTGGCTGCGAGATGCTGTTTGGGTGATAGAAACCAAACTCAGGTCCTTTTGAAGAGCAGCCAGTGCCCTTAACCTCTGAGCCATTTCATGCTCTAATCTATGTGATAAAGGCATGATGACCTAACTTGAGTTCTATTACTTAGTGGTTGGAGTTGTGAACATTGTAATAGTGATGGCCACTGAGTTAGAGTCAAGTCTAAGGGGTTCATTCCCAGTGACTTATTTGCAGTTTCCTATGACCTGCAGATGACCCACAGATGTTTCTCCTTGCTCAACCAACCCAGCAACCGCCATGGCAATGGCCAATCATAGTTAGCTGATCATTAAATGAGCTAATCACAATAGTTGACAAATGACTTCTGCACTCCCCTTTGATTCTGTGGTTTTTCTCTTTAAAACTAGCCTGTAACAGCTATTTGGGGTCCTTGGCTTGAATGCTGAGTGACCCTGTCATGACAGAATTAAATCCTCTTGCTTTTACATCAACTGTGGCGTGAGAGTACTCTCTTGAGGTGACTCCTCCTCGGTGATTGGACTTCATGATCAAACAGCATCAGCATAGAATGTAAGGACTACAGATATTGGTGTTCCCTGTACAATGAGAGGAAGAATCTAGTTAGTTCTTATAAGTTGAATTCTATTGCTTTGGGGATATTTATTATTATTCTCTCCCAAAAAAATCACTGCAAGCTCTTGTCAAGGTTCACTTTCTGCCCATAATTTGTCAATTTTATCATTAGTGAAAAGTACTAAAATTTCTGCTGAGTCTGTTACTGCTAATTGATGAAGTCTCAATTTTCTTTTTAGAATCAATTCAGAGACCTTTTCCATATAAGTTTTTAATATTTTATTCTGTTTATGTGGTAAAAGATATCCATTCTAAGATAATATCTTCCCTCTCCATTCATATTCCTATAGGAAAGTGTTTAAAAGGTCAAATAACCATCATGCAATCAAACTCTGGATCCAAACAACCCACATGTGCATCTTATAATTTATTTTCCACCAAAACCAATTCTCTCTCAGATTTAGTTGATAGTTCTCTTGGACTATTTGGATCTAAGATTTTGAAAAAATTATCCAGTTCATGATTTTTTTATTCCAATAGTGGGCCATAGATTAAAAGTGTCTTCTAGCAATCTTTGAAAGTCATTAAGAGTCTGCAATCCATCTTTTCTAGTTTGTACCTTTTGGAGGTCTATTTTTTTTGTAAACATATTTTATAGCCTTAAATAATTATTAGAATTTGCTCTGTATTTTTTCAGGAGCAATTTGTAATCCCCAGCAAGGTAGATTTTTCTTTACCCCTTCAAACATTCTTTCTAAAGTATCTATATTTGAATCATCTAATTAGATGTTGTTCATGTAATAGTAAACTAGAGAGCCAGAAAATTGCTTACTTATCATTTCCAATGGCTGTTGTACAAAATAATGACATAAGGTGGGGCTATTTAATATTCCCTTTGGTAGAATCTTTCATTAATAATTTTTAGCAGACTGGGAATTATTACAAGTAGGCATGTGAAGGCAAATTTTTCTCTATCTTTTTCTTGTAAAGGCATAATGAAGAAACAATCTTTTAAATCAATAGCTATAAGATGCCATCTTTTAGGTAGTAGAGAAGTCAAAGAAATTCCACACTTCAGAGAGCCCACTGGTTGAATCACCTTATTAGTAGCTCTTATATCAGTTATCATTTCTCTATTTTCCAAATTTCTTACAAATAACAAATAGAGGAGAATTCCAAGGGCTGGTTGATTCGTCAATATTCTAAGCATTTAGCTGCTCCTGTACCTGCTGCTCTAAGGTCTGTAGTTTCTCTGTTGTAAAAGGCCAGTGCTTAACCCATACAGGTTTTTCCATCAACCATTTTAAAGGTAGGGCTGTTGGTGCTTGTGAAAGATCAGGAGCTGTGGTGCCCTGTTTGTATACAACTTTCGTTGTCAGTGACTGTTCTTTATAATTCCTTCTAATATTTACCCAGAAGCATATGCTAATTTATGGTTTGTTTCTGAGACTGGAGGATTGTTAATTTGAGTATTCCATTGCTGTAACAAATCACATCCCTATAATTTCATTGCTTTGTTAACCACATATAACTTTAATTTTCTTCTCTGTCCTTCTGGTCCTATACATCCTGCACTCTGTCTTACCCGAGATAAAGTTCCAATCCCTAAAAGCTGAACATTTACCTCCTGAAGAATTCAACTTGGATGCTAAGATTCTAGTGCAATTACCATTACATCCACACCTGTGTCTAACAGTCCTTCAATAACAACGTCATTTATTCATTTTTTAATTTTTGTCTTTATTTATAAAAGTTTGCCAAAATATCTCTGCCTTATTGTTTCTCCTGAATTTTTTTGTTCTCTATTCTATACCTGTTCTATCATCCAGAGCAGTATGGTTTCTTAAAGCAGGCATTAGGTTCTTTAATTGTTCTGGGAAGGAATTTCCTCCATGATGATAGGAAATAACTGAACAGAGTTTGACATGGGGGTCTGCAAGAGGCTCCTCAAGAAGTTTTCCAATGGCAAAGAGTTACCTTGACTGTCCATCATTGATCTACATTTGTTAGTCCAATGACCGCCTTTGCCATACCTTCTGCATAATCCAGAAGGGAGGGGTGTTCTGTTTGGGTCATACTTAGGAAAAACATTATTTCTAGGAACACCCATTTTTACAATTCCTTTTTAGGTGACCTTGTTGACTGCAACTGAACATGTGACATTTTGATTTTTTCTTCAAACCTCTGTAGATCACCTCTCCTATCCAAGCATTATCATGGTCATGAGATTCAATATTGATTGTCCCTTGGAGCCATTCCTCCAAGTGTGCTGAGCGTGCCTCTACAGGTCCTTTTGCACGCAAAACTAGCATTTTCAAAAGCTAGAGACTCAATTATTATTTGTCTAGTCTCTGAATGTGGTGTCATTCTATTGACTGCTGCAGTCAATCTTTGTCAGAGATCAGTGAAGGTTTCTTTTGGACCCTGTATAACTTTAGTAAATGACCCAATTTTCTTTCCTACTTCTTCAATTCTTTTCCAAATATTCAAAGCTGCTGCAAGGCATGAAGTCAGGGTGTGGCCTTCATGTAGAGACCTTTGTACATTAGCATAATCTCCTCGGAGACTTCTATTCCTCTAGCCCTACTTTGTTGTTCAGTGGTCTTAGCCTCATTTTTCTACCAACTCCTGTATTGTAATTGGGGATCAGGCTCTAAGACTGCTACAACCAAGTATCTCTAGTCTTGAGGGACTGCCTTTTTATAGTAGCATAATTTCCTTCTCCAAGAATTTGATCATGGGAGATTTCCATACCACTAGCTTTACTCTGTTGTTCAATAGTCTTAGCCTCTTCTCTGAACCAGGTATTACATTGTAATTGTGGATCAGACTCTAAAACATCTTTAACCAACTCTATCCAGTGTTTAGGGATAATTCTATTACAAACTGACCATGAGTTTCCCTTTTAGACTGATTCAATCTTATGCAGCCCAGGGTAGCCTTGAACTCACAGAGATCCATCTGCCTCTGTCTCCCAAGTGCTCAGATTAAAGGTGTGTGCCACCACTGCCTGGCCTCTATGGCTAGCTAGTGTGGCTAGCTCCACACTCTAATCTTCAGGCAAGCTTTATTTGTTAAAGCACAAACAAAATATCACCACACTAACCTGTTTCAGAGGGGGAGAAGTTGGCATTTCAAAACCGCATTTATCAATGCTAAAACTCTGTACCTCCAAAGTTACATCTGAAAGCTGGTTATTCTGTACTGTGAAACCTGTGAATGATACAAACCTGTCTGTATTTATAACAGGAAACTTAACTAATGAACTAATGAGCTACCAAAGTGATTGTAACTTTGGAGTCAGGGGGAGAGCAGTTAAACTGGTAAATTTGTCAGTACCCTAGTCATCAAACACTATGAGATTTAAGAAAGATAAATTTTACATGAGTAAGCAGAAGTGAGACAGCTTTCCAGCTACTTAGACAGCAATCCCAGGTCTCCCATGGTTGTTGGGAACAGAGGTCCCAGGGTATTAACGGTCCTCAGGTGCCAGGCCCAGAAAATTTGACAGACTTCATTTTGGAGTAAGAACTTGTGGGGGACCAGCATACATTGCATAGGAAAAGCAGTGTACTATTGCCTACAGTCTGGACAGAGTCTTAGCAGCAGTTAAAGAGCAAAGTGGTTCTCTGTTCTGTGACTGGCCTTGCTACATTTAAAGCTCCAAGTGGAAGTTCTTCTGTGTCTATTCGTCTTTCTTAGAGGAGATACAGGATGCTTCTAGGAGCTCTCATATCTCTATTTTGAGAATTTTTTTATTAAAATGCCATATTCTCAGGTCTCTGAAGTATTTGAGGGTCAGGGGATCATTATCTGTTAGGTATGTCTAAGTTAGACAAATGTTGTTTAGGCTTACATTAAGATAAATGTGAATATATCAAAGAAATTGGTCCTTTATGAGGTAACTGATGGTTAACTTGTATGTCTCTGTACAATATTATAGAGCATAACAGTTTTCTATATAGCTAGTTTACCAAATTAGTGTTATCTTACCAATGTTAGTAAAAGCAAGAAGGTTAGACATACGCTTTTGAGCTGATTTTTGTTAGCCTGAATCATCTTGCTACATCATAAGATAGGGATACCTCAGTCTCTGCTGTTCAGTTGTGGTCCTAAGACATGGAGCATAATCATAATCTATAGAAGGCAAACCAAGTTTTAACATTGCAAACAACTTAGTGTTTTAAAAATCAGTAATATGTTATAAAATCTGGCTGTCAGCAAGATACATTCCTAGACATGGATGTATACCCCAGTAAACCAGCATTGTTTTAAAGCCTATCTTTTATAAACCTTGTTTTTAGGATAGAGCAGGAATTAACATACAGAAATCTATTCTCACCTAAAATATTGGAGACCTAATGTTTTCTTATTGGGGCCACTCCATGTGGTCACCTTTATTTAAGACAGCAGTGAAGTCGTTTGCCCTTCCTCTGTTTAACCTTAGTCAAAATGGCAGCAGACCATGTGTTATTTGCCAGAGCAATTTCAACTCGGAATTACAGGTTTTAAACTAACTTTTTGTTAATAGCAGTGGCTGACAGATGAAACACATACATTCAGGCACTCAAAACCAATCAGAAACAAGCATTCAGTGACCACACATTTACACACACAACTGAGCCTGAAGTGAACACAGAGGCACAGATTTGCTCACACACGCAGGACAGAAGGGACTTTTTAAACAGAAAGTCAACACTTTCTGTGGGAAACCATGTCGGGTGACCGACTTAAAAATCCATGTCAGTGGCAGCGGCAGCAGTGGTGGTGGGAAGAAGGGAAGGAGGGCGGAGGTGTGGGTGTGAGGTGTGGGGAGTGGGGGAGTACAGGGATGTGGGGGTGGGGGAGGGACAAGAGCCCTGTGGAGGATACAGGCGCCTGGAGCTTAAGGTGTTGGGGAAAGGAAGTGAATACTCATGCGCTGGGCATGAAGCAGCTGGCGCCGCTGGCTTTCATTTACACGCTGCGACAGATGGAAGAACAAGACTTTTACAAAAGAGCAAGAGCAGGCAGAAACAAAGAGTGTATCTGCCGGCAGGTAGAATTACAGCATGGTCCTGGGGGAGTGGGGGAGTAGGCAGAAGCAGAGAGAACAGATCATGGGAGTGATCGGCTCTTAACCCTGGATGAGGGAGCTCAAACCAACCTATGGTGTGAGACAGGCCTGATTTGGATAAATTTTGTAGGCGACAACGCAAGGGTGTGTGGGGTTCGAACTTGGACCTGCAAGTACCCATTCACAAGTCTTTTGTTGAAGACCGGAAACCAGAGGATATGGCGGGGCGTCCAAGATAGCGTGGGGCCAAATGGAAGGGGTGGGTGGGATATTCCTGTGGAAGGCATCTCCCACACAACCCAAGGGGCAGGGGCTGTCCATGCTCTGGAACAGGCTGGAGTTACCTGGCGCTGCAGTGTCCTATGGTAGACAATCTGCAAGCCTTTCACCCAGAAGGGGCGAAGACTCAGAAGGGATCCTATATCTCTTATAGGCTCTTGGTTTGCAAATGGGTGACTTACCAAGCAAAAGTTGGTCTGGTGTGTTGGAAGCAGGGTAGAAGGGAGAGTGACTTTTCAGGTGTTCATGGGAAAGACAACTCTACCTGGGTCCGGCACCAAGTTGATAGGTATTTTGTAAATTCTCAGTTGTGGGTTTCTCTTCTGACGCAATAAGCCAAATCTAGCTGAATTAATAAGATTAATTAATTAATAAACAGAGCAAAGCAACTCCTGGGTGATTCTTGGGGGAAAGAAAGCAGGAGAGAAATCGTGTGGCAACTCTAGGGATTAGAGCTTAAATAGTAAAATAAATAGATAAATAAATAAATAAGTAAAATAATTAAAAAAAGTGCAGGCATGGTCTTGAGCAGTTCAGGGGGACAAGCCGTTGCTGACTGGTTTTCTGAAGGTAAGGGTCTGGAAAGAGAGAGGTGGGGTTGAAGCGGAGTTCCAGCTAAATGTCTGGGTGGGGTTTGGAGAGAGAGAAGGGGGTGGAGGTGGAACTTCTACCTAAACATTTTTTTCTTTTTTCTTTTCTTTTTTTTTTTTTTTTTAAAGACAAGGACTATGTAGTTCTGACTGTCCTGGAACTCACTGTGGAGACTAGGCTGGCCTTGAAATCATAGAGCTCTGTCTCTGCCTCTTAGTGCTAGGATTAAAGGCATGTACCACACTATACCTGACTTCTTTTGTAATATTAAAAGATGATATAATTTAGTTGAGTGTAGTGGATCACAGCTTTAGCAGAGAGATGTCTGTGAGTTGTAGGCTAGCCAAAGCTGCAGGTGAGATTCTGTCTGAAAAGGAAAATCATTTACTTCTTAAGTTCAGCAGAAAATGTTATATTTACTTATAATAACATCAGTGAAGTTAAGCTTGTTACCTCATGATTTTCTTCAAGTCTAGGTTGGGGTAAGTTATTTTCACTTTTTTGTTATTGTTATTTTCTGGTGCTAGGCTTTGAACTTAGGGCCTCACACATTTGAAGCAAAGGCTGCACCAATGAATTATATCTGCAGTCCTGTTCAGTTCTTAATGATAGGGCAATGGGTTGTGAGTGGCTAAGCAGATAAGAAGAAAATAACTGTGATATTCATTTCTCTTTGTTTTGTGTTCCCAACCCCAATGACTTATTAGGATGAAGTTGCTTTAAGAACCATTACTCTATGGCAAAAAACATTTCAAACCAGGAAAACAAACCTTCCACATGGTCATCAGCAAAAGACATCTCATAAACAAAAGGGGAAGAAAAAATGTGACAGAGGACACACACATGCACATTCAGGATGTCTTACTATGGAAACAGATAAGGAAGCCCAGCAAAGAGAGCAACTTAACAAAGTCCTGAAAACCAAATTCCAGACATCTTCTGAATCTTTTGAGAAAACACCACCACTTGGCATTTTTAAGGTAAAAGCACACTTAAAGGTAATTCCCTCTAATGTAAAAAAGAATAGATCTGTCTGTGAGGGAAAAGATGCTTCCTCAGAGACTTCCATGTACAATTGCAAATATTTAAAAACAAACAAACAAACACAAAATCAACTGATCCCATCTTGAAAATGTTCTTGCATCTCATTCTTGACCCCAGGCCATGGCTATACTTGTCACTTACTTTCTAAGGTTTGAGTAAAAATAAATTAGACTGAGAACAACAAACTAGAATGAGAAATAATTTAAACAATTATTTTTTTTTATAATTTAGATGTATGAGTGTTTTTGCTTGCTTCTAATTCTGTGTACCATGTGCATGCAGTACCCATGGAGGTCAGAAGATGGTGCTGAATTCCTTGCAACTAGAGTTACAGGTTGTTGTGAACTGCTATGTGGGTGCTGGGTCTCAGACAAGGAGCCTCTGGAAGAGCAACCAGTGCTCTTAACTGCAGAGTCCTGTCTTCAGTCACCTGAACATAGTTTTAACACAAATGAGGGCAATTTTTATAACAATACAGAAAATGATAATGATTTCTAGAGCACTTACAATTGAAATGAAAGGAATCAACATGTTTGAAATATAAATTATAAATCTACAAACCAAAATATAATAATTGAAAATTAGATATTAGACATATGTGCAATTCTAGTAAACCAAAAGGGCAGTGGTTTACACACCTCACAATGTATCATGAGACTGATGTAAAAGATGCTGTATTTCTTCAATTAAATGTATTTATTTATCTATTTATTTATTATGTGTATGGTGTTCTGCCTCCATGCATACCTGCAGGCCAGAAGAGGGCACCAGATCTCATTCTAGATGATTGTGAGCCACCATGTGGTTGCTGGAAATTGAACTCAGGACTTCTGGAAGGACAGTCAGTGCTCTTAACCAGTGAGCCATCTCTCCAGCCCCTCTTTAATTAAATTAATCTAAAACAAAATCAGTACAAGACTTGGAGTAGAAGCTAATACCTGATAAAGGCTGAGTGCTAAGTGTAAAGCTTGGACCTAGACAATCAGTTCTTCTCCACTACGGTAACAAACCATCAAATGTGTCTTCCTGAAGGCTCATAGCCAGACAGGTGAAGCTGACAATATCACAGGAATATTACAAGGTTGATTCCTAGCTTCGATAAAAAGAAAGTTCACTTTTATCACTGCGTGGATATTCTCTGTCAATTTTATTCTGCTTGCTAAAATCTACATATACCACTGAGTTATTTGTTAATGAAATTGTATCTATATATACATTACTTTTTTTGAGATAACATTTTGTTGTATAGCCCTAGCTAATCTGGAACTTTCTATATAGATCAGGCTAGCCTTGAACTCTCAGATTGCCTCTTGCTTCTGCCTCCTCAGTGCTGGGATTAAAGGCCTGCACTACCATAGCTCTGATATGGATTCTTTTTGATGTCTAAATAGGAGTTGAACATTTTCAGGTCTTTCTTCCTCAATCATCTTCATTGTTTCTATTTTCCACATGGTGTATGTATAAAATTAACTTGGACTTATACCATGTGACCTCCTGGCTTAAAAATAGAGGAGGATGATAAAAGTGTTATAAACATAGGGGTTTCTTTTTATTGTCTTAAGATAAACTGCATAATGGGAGGAAAAAATAAATGAGAAGAACTGTGAAAATGTGTCTAAGCTGACAAATACTCTCATTAAACTCATGTGTGCGGGCTGGAGAGATGGCTCAGTGGTTAAGAGCATTGCCTGCTCTTCCAAAGGTCCTGAGTTCAATTCCCGGCAACCACATGGTGGCTCACAACCACCTGTAATGAGGTCTGGTGCCCTCTTCTGGCCTGCAGACATACACACAGACAGAATATTGTATACATAATAAATAAAAAAAAAACAAACTCATGTGTGCATTGTGGCTCGGATTTATCTCCTTTATTAGAACAATCGAGATCATCCACACTACCACTTTAAGTACTCTTGACAAATATATACACTATCACATCTTTTTTTTCACCTTTTTTGTGTCTCCTGATTTTTTTTATTATTTTTATTAGATTTTTTTTTAAAAAAATACTAATCCAAATTCCCACTCCCCCCCATTCCTTCCACACACCCTCCCATCCCACTCCTCTATTAAGACAGATTATCTGTCTTAATAGTTTTGTTTTGCCATCTATTTATATTATACTGTTGGGATGAGTCTTGGATGATTTTTAAAAAATTAGCATATAAAATCAGCAGATTTGGTTGATGGCAAAGTAGGATGCTGAATTCTAAGATACACTGAGTTGTCAAGACTGACACCAATCTAGAGATATGTTTAAAAGTAAAGCAGATAAGGCTTCTCATGTGCCAGTTAGCATTAAGTTCGCTTGTAAAACCCCCTTTTATTTTACTTTTTTAAATGTATGTTTGTGTATGAATGTTTTGCCTGCTTGTATGCCTGTGCACTGTATGCATGCTTGTCGCCCACTGAGGTCACAAGAAGGCCTTGGATCCTGTATGACTGGAGTTCCAGATGAATGTGAGCCCCTGTGTGGATTCTTGAACCAAACTCAAATGCTCTTAACTACCGAGTCATCTCTCTAAGTCCCAAACTCACACTTCTTAAATTTACCTGGTTCAGTGGGTGTTCTGGATAACCTACCTGAGTCAACTTTATGGAATTTTGTTTTGTTTTGTTTGAGACAGGGTTTCTCTGTGTAGCCCTGGCTGTCCTGGAATTCACCCTGTAGACCAGGCTGGCCTTAAGAGATCCATCTGCCTCTTCCTCCCAAGCGCTGGGATTACAGGTACGTGCCACCACTGCCCAGAAGCCTTATGGAATTTCATCAACTGCTTCGTGACATAAACCAGTGAATGGGTAGCACCCTTTCAGAGCTTTTGATGACTCCTCCAGGTTTTTCTCTGTAACTTCTACTACAAGTAGATGCTGCTACTGAAACGGACCATTACCTGACAGCCCCCAGGTGTAACAATGGCTAAGGAGCCAGAGGGCATCTCCAGAAACCTAACTTGCAGCTCAGCAACTCCCCTCTGCTGTGAGTAATGGCACACTTTGTCCATGCACTTCAAAGGTGAGCTTCACTGTTTTCCTAGGATCCCAGTGGGCAATTATCAAAGGCCACGGGGAAAGTATTAATGGGGTGCAGAAGGGAGAGAGGCGGGGGGTTCCTTTTCTTCCGGAAGTCCTTCACTGTCACACTCTGTCCACCTGCTGCGACATAAAAACCAGGTCACACAGACTGGATAGGACACATTTTGTCCCTTTCTTGATATTTCTTCTTATCACGCAGGAGGTGAATGTGTTATGTAACGAAGAGTAGATTTTAAAAAGTCAGATGGATAATGTCTCCTTTTGAAATTTCTGAAAACTTTGGGCCTTTTACTCAAGCATCAATGAAGCACAGGTTACAAAATGCCAGTGTTCTGTATGGATAAAAAAAAACACATCTATTTGTGGACTAAAATCAAGATATGGCACTGACAAACAATAGAATGAATGAAACTATAAAACTCCCTCTTAGTGACAGATAACATAACTTGAACTTTCCTTAAAGGCCGAAGAGGAGAGGAATTACGGACTCCAGGAACCTGAAGTCACACTTGAGAGCTCTAATGACAGAACGGCTTGTGCTGTTGCTTCGGCTGGTGGTGACGCCGCTTCAGGTTCCACTTCCACTTCGAAGGCCGTTTCTGCTTCCACTTCTAATGCTTCAGCGGCTGCTGCACCTGCTTCTGCTGCTCTGGCTGCTGCAGCTGTTGTGGACTTCTCCAACGCTACTGTTAATGCTGCGGTCGCTGCTGTTACTGCTACTACTGACCACAAAGGCATTGAACCAATTCTGCAAAGGCACAGTGGTACTGTTAGCAAAAAGGGTTTTGCTCTTGCAGGAAAAGAAGAACACAATAAGTAAGACCATGATTCTAGTTTAAAATAATCATTTTGACTTACAAAACAAATTCTCATTTTGACTAAGGTTCATGGTGGACACACACACATACGCTTGGTCTACCAATAGTGAAACATCACCCACTATCAGAACCATGTGAATAGCTTGATTTCATTTTCCAGTTATATTGAAAACAATGCTATATAAACATAATCATCCTAGCTAGCAAACATGAGGGAAGTCCATTGCCTTTTCCCACGGTTAAATGAATTCATTGACACAGAAATCAGAGTGCTATTCCTTTCTTAGAACCCACTTGCCTCCGGTTCCATTCAGAGTGCCTGCCACGAGTCAAGTAGGTCAGGCTTTTATCTAACCTCTGACTTGAACTTGAGTTTTTTTGTCCTTGCCACTGCACCCCAGTCGCAGTGAACACTCAGGCATCTTTCTGCACTTGCAGGCTTCCTGACAGCTGCCTGTCATGTTTTCTATTCACTTATCGCTTGCTTACAAGCCACATACTCAGCTGGTGGTCCTACTTGTTATTGTTCCTTCCACCTTACCCATACAGTGCAGACAAGTTTATTTTCCTCCTCTAACATTTGTTGTCTCTCTGTGTGTCTGTCTTACTGTTCATTTATGAACTTGAGAGTCAGTAGGCTTTTGTCCGCTTACCCCTGTAGCCTCACTGATTAGGCAATGGACTGGCAGATGACCACTCAAAGTCTCTTTTTGGAATGAGCAAATGAAATTTACCACGAGTGTTGCTTTAAACCTTAGACTATTTGTCACTTATGTCGTGGATCAATTCTCAGAATTTTTATTTACTAATTACAATCATTAAAAAATTCTGGTGATCTTTTATAGTCACCACATGAGCAATGCTAACATATGCGGAAAGTTCACACATTGTAGTTACCGTTACTTACTCTTCTGCCTGCATTTATGATAGTCTTTTCTTTGGCAAATAGATCAGAGGAATAGAAGAAGTCATTTTTTTTTCTGATCAAGCTGCAACTTTTATTATTCCTCAGAAGCTGTTAAATAGCAAATGGGCAGGGGGAGGGGAGGGTGTCGGGAAAGTCCCCGTCTGGGTCTCCTGGAATTCAGGTCTGGAAGGTCTCTGGCTGAGAGAAAGATATTAGCTAACAAAGGAGGTGCTAATTACTTCTAAGGCCTGGAGCCTGTTGTCTCACTAGGAGATAAGATACCAGATTGATCTCCTAGGCCCAGAATTTACCCTGCAGAGGGGATAGAGGTAAATATTTTATTTAACTTGTGAGCTTAAGATGGCTGTAAACAAAATACAAATCTCAAAATACAGGTCTTTGCTTCCAGCATGTCAGCTCTTTTTAAGTATTAGAATGAAGGGAGTTAAAGGTCATCTGGTAGATGAGCGGGCATTAACCACAGTGTGTGTGTGTGTGTGGGGGGGGTACAGAGGCTTTATCCTCCGATGTTTAATTGGTGGGGGAAATTTCTTTCCAACTTGGTGGAAGAAATTTCTTTTCAAAGTTACAGATGTCTGTTTGGGGAGGAGAGGGTCTAGGTTTTTCTATCAGTACCTCTGGACATCAACCTCTATGCAATCAGGCATGTTCCTCAGGAGACCCAGAGACGGAATGCATGGTTCTCTCCCTGCGGTGCTCTTTGTCTTGCACCCCTTGCTGGCGCCCATGCCTGTTGTGGACAGACACACTTATCTCTGGGTTTTATGTGGCTCCAATAGGAGACTCATTCTCAAGGGGCTTCTTCTAGCCCTCAATCAGCCAGATCAAGCCAGTGATAATGGATCTGAATGGGCTTGGATGCCTATTAAGGGCCCATGGTCTAAAAGCCATCAATAATAAAAATCCTAAAAGGGGTCCTAAAAGGGAGGGTAAAAAGGTGGTGATCCAGGGAAAACCATCCTTCCTCTTGCTCTCTCTGCTTTTTTCTACACTCTAATCCTTTCCTGACCTTAGCCAGGCTATTTTTGACTATCGCGGTATGATCAGTATAAAAACAACATTTCTCTTTTAAGGCAGCACAAAGGGATCAAAATCTAAAATTCTTAACATATGCATTAAACCCAAACATTTTACAGGGTGTGTTAAACTTTTCTCAACATCTATAAACAGTTACAAATAGCATTAGGTCAATTTCAGTAAGAGTACAACGACATTGTTGTTATTAACTACCAGTTTCAATCTCTGAAGGACAGTTAAGCCCTTAGTCTGCCCACTTCTTAAGTGATGAGGGGTTAATATTTTAATCAAAATGAGTTCTGTGTCCCAGAGATTAAAACAGTCGGATGTTTAGTCTGCGTCTCAGTTCCAAAGCAAACAGGATTCAAACTGCAGAAAATTGTAGTCACAGTGGGGTCTCTGGGTCTGTGTCCCAGGTCTGAAAGCAGCTCAGCATCCATTTTTTTAGGGCAGGTGACACTCCTGGGTGAGGTGAGCTGGATTCAGCTACCTGAAGCACATGCACATCTTGGCAATCATTTCAGCGAGGTCTCTTTGTGTGGAATCTCTGGAGGCAGAATGACACCCTGCAGTGTAGAGTGGTATAGCAGGTCCTGCGATCAGGCACTCCTCTCTGGGGGGGCAGGGAAGACTGGATCAAGGATTCCTCTCGAACTCCTCTATGGAGTGTTTGCAGCTACGATGTCATCGGGTCTGCCATTCCTTTACTGTTTTGCAGTCATCTCATCCAGTTTTATTTACTTTCTGTGAAAAAAGCAGAAACACATCCTCGACCCAAATATATATAGGTCGGGTTTTTAAAAATTAATTAATTAATTAATTTTTTAAAATATTTATTTATTATGTATACAATATTCTGTCTGTGTGTATGCCTGCAGGCTAGAAGAGGGCACCAGACCCCATTACAGATGGTTGTGAGCCACTATGTGGTTGCTGGGAATTGAACTCAGGACCTTTGGAAGAGGAGGCAGTGCTCTTAACCTCTGAGCCATCTCTCCAGTCCCAGTCGGGTTTTTTTTTTTATAATTCATTATAAGGGCTTTTTTTTTTTTTAACCTTGCTTTAGCAAATGTCACCTTGGTGTCATTATGTCAGCTCTGTCTACAACTTTTATCCTCTTAAGTTGCTTTTAAGGGGTTATATCACGCTCCACATTTTTTTTTTTATTATTAACCATATATGCAGTTCTTCCATTGGAAGAGCCATGTGTAAAATTCAGCATAATATCCTTCAAGGGATCCTTAGCTATAACATTAGCAAATATAGTTGTGCGAATTGTAGCAACAATCATCTGGAGAAAGATTATTATTCTGGCCTTTGAATTGAGTAAACATAATTGTCCAAGAATTACTATATTAAAATTATTATTTGATCTATTGCTTAGTATAAGAAGCATTGATCATAGCCAATACTCTGTTAACTGTCTCCTAGATTTCACTTTGTTCTTTTGTATTAGACAAGCTAGTGCTTTAAATTAAGAGTTTAATATCTTAACTGGCAAAAACAGGAAAATGCAGTCATAAAAATGATTTTTTTAAATAAAACTGCTGTAGAATAAGTTTTTGCACTTAATAAACACACACTTGCCATAGCTGAATCATAATTAATATACTGTACTTGTTGATTATTATATACTTTACCTGTTGATCTATATTTTACCTGCTTGAGTACCTGTCTGGCAGCTTCTATAAGCTCTCTATTGGAAATTGGCTCATCGCTCTCTTTAAGAATTTTACCTAGTGGTTCAATATCTCCCATAAGAATATTACAACTAGGGCTTTTGCCATTGAATATTTAATTAAAAGTTTGTAAGCTATCTTCCTCTTAAGATGCAAGTCTGCCTAACTGATAGGAGAATGAAAAAGGAAGCATATTTAACTAATGATGCTGGTCTCATAGACATGAACATTAGAAGAATGAAAATAGATTCATATCTATCTCCATGCACAAAACTCAAGTTTAAATGAATCAAAGGCCTCAACGTAAAAAACCACATTGAACCTCACAGAAGAAAAATTAGAAGTACACTTTGGTACATCTCAAACACATCCTCAGGGGCACAAACATTGAGAAAAACAATTAAAAAATCGGATCTCCTGAACTGAGAAGCTTCTGTATAACAAGACATAATATCAGCCTATAGAATGGGAAAAGATCTTTACTTATCATAAACCCATTCCAAAAACATATGAAGAACTCAGGAAATTAGTCATCAAAAGATCAAATAATCCAATAGAATTAGGTTACAGACATAAACTTAAAACTCTCAATTAGATGAACTTAAAATGACTGAAAGACACTCAAAAAATGCTTAAACATAACATCTTTAAACCTTTAGAGAAATGTGAATCAAAACTCTGAGATTTCATCTTATTCCTGTAAAAATGACCAAGATTAAAAATACTGCTAACAACTTATGCTTAAGAGAATGTGGGTAAAGAGAAAATTCCACTGCTGGAAGTGTAAACTGGCAGAGCTGCTTTTGGATTATAGTATGGCAATTTCTCAAAATTAGGCAAATATCTATCTTGAAACTCAGAAGTACCCCTTTTGGGCCTAAATGCAAAAGATATTCAACCACACCATAAGAACACGTGCTCAGCTGTGTTTACATCAGAATTACTTTATCATAGCCAGAATCTGAAAACAAACCAAATGTATCTCTTTTACACATAGAATAAATGAAACATCATCCTTTTAAATAGCCACAAACACCATAAAATACCTTGGAGTAACTCTAAGCAAGCAGGACCCAAGATTTGTGAAGGGGGAAAAATGTGGGGACCAGTCATGATAAGCTAAGTATAGGCAGGTCACCCAAAGGATGTTCCCCATTTCCAACCATTATCACCTGCCAGAGTAGATCACTGGCCCTTGATAAATTTAATAGAGGCCTGAGTCTCAGTAGTTTACCCTGAAGCAATACCTGATAGCAGGAAAAAACCACTAGCTGAAATAACTGGACCCCCACCCAAGAGTAGATCACACAAATGGAAAAACCTATATGATAAGAACTTTAAATCTTTTAAGAAAGAAATTTAAGACATTAGAAA